TTAGAAAGCTGGTCAGTGTGGTAAGTCTTCGGTCCACTTCGAGTCGCTTTAGTTCGGCTCCTAGGTTTTATCCGTATTGATGTTCGGTCACAGAATACTCCCTGTACAGTGGTTGGCAATTGGTGTAGTTTTTACAGCGCCCATGACGGAGAAACGAATCAATAAGTGGAGGAAGTCGATTACTAGAGAGAAGAAGCACGACTAGAGCTCAACTTGAGTGTGCTGTTTCTACATTGTATTTGCTATTGGGCCATAAACGTAGTGATGATGGAACATATAATGAGAAAGAAAACACCCTTTCACTACTGTCGCTACTAATGCCCTGTTATCTGTAAACCGACTAGCATTGTTGTTGAGTTTATGTCTGAATAATTATTATTGTCTTCCTACTTAAAAGCCCCGTTTCTCGTCCTTCAGGTTCATTGGTCTGTGAGACTTGTACCGTGACAGTACAGTTTGGGTCGAACGGCAATTACGAGACCTTGCAATCCTCCTAGAATGTTGGGAATCTAAGAATGAGCCTGAAATTGGAGATTTTACCCGCCCCAGGGTAGTGCCGTATGTATCTGCTATTTTCATACACTGTCGTGAGAGAAGTCACTTAGGATCGGCCCCATGTGTCATCATGCTGTAGATCTCTTATGGTTCTTGGCTCGTACTGCTGCGTATCTGCCGTGTATGCTGCTTCTGTTAGCTGTGATATTGCGTAACTTGCATCTGAGTGATGGATTATGGTACGTTCTCTGCACATTCATGGTTGTATTATCACTCCCTTCATTGCCGCTTGTTTCGCGTGGAAGATAGGCCTCAACAGCGCGTTGTTGTGGTACGCTGTCCTTATCGCCTCACAAACGCGTGGCATCATATGATATGACAACAGGGGGTTTTCGAGTCTATATGGCTCATATGGACTTGAAAACTCTCTGCTATCATGCGTGGGGAGCTATCGAAGCTAGCAAACTTATCAGGCTCCTATCGCGGAGGGGTTCTTGAAGGTCCACAGAGAGTGCAAACTCTTAGGACACCTCAAAGGCGTCAAATTCTACCGTCCAGGGAACAGCAGGTCACTACTGTCACTAATTGCAATATTCGTAGATAGAGGTTGTACGAGAAGATCCGTAAGACGAGAAGACATGTAAGGCGTCCGTCTCTCGTATATACCCATGGGCGTGCTAACCTGATTGGGATTACCTCATTTGAGTGCTAGCATTGTTACTTTTCCCCATGTCTTACCGCCTTTGTGTTGCAACTAGTGGGTTGGTGACTATACATCATCCTACAGGGTATGCCGAGGAATGACAGGGTCGCATAGAGGAGGTGAATGCTCGAATACAATTTGATAAGTGATTTGATGGCATAGGTGCCCCATTTTTAACACGTCTAGTCTATGTGATGGGGCCGCTATGCCAGCGGACGATATCGCTCCGGAGCTTATTTTGGGGGTGGGGCCGCTATGCCAATGGACTATATCATTACGAAGTTGCGAGTGGGTGGTGATGACTATTGTTTCTGATGAAAGGTGGTACCATCGATATATTTTCACCTTGAGTCATCAGGTGACTCTCATCCTCGAAGAATGGGGCGCCTGTGCCAGGTAGTCATGGAGTTTGGCCCCTTCCGATGTGAGCGAGTTTATCCACAGTAAAAAAATTCACAAGGTGGAGTTGACTGAGGAACGCTGAAGGTTGCCGCGCTCAAGAGGATCTGTCGTCGCTATCTGAGCATTGGTTATTTGAGCTCATCATTGCTGTCCTCTTCGCTGCGTTCAAGTCGGCCAGTACGGTACAGCATTCATCTGTACAGGGCTCAGTTCTCAATCTATCATCACCAATTGTAGCTCCCTCTGGCAGCATCCTTTACGCGGCCAGCCGACGTAAGGTGGCACATGTCATTCAAGCTGTAGCCCATTCGAGGCTGAAAAGGAGGAAGACTGTCAATGACGACTCGACACTATTGAACCTCAATAAGTTCGGCGAGGATGTCCTCCAAGATCTTCTGGACTCCGGTTATGAGATTGTAGCCGCTGGTGTAACCAGCAGCTCTGATGAAGAGGGCGTGGCTCACGAGGGCTTCCCTGACAACATCAGTGCGGACCTCGAACTGGTCCCCATCCGACGGCAAGGAGATTCCAGTTCTCCGCATCAGCTTGTTCTAGAAGGGTGCAAGGAATGGCTCTGGTTCAGGAAGGTAGTAGTCTAGATTAGCCACCCATCGTCCAAGCCTGGCCCTCAGGCATGGCTACGTATGGTTCTGCGTGCCTGGAGGAGCGATGTAGAGAGGGCTCGTCGGAATGCAATAGATGAATCTCTCCGGAAAAATGCAGTGAGAGATGCCTCGTATTACCGCGATAAACTCATCCATAAGGTAGTAGGCTCGATCATCATCTCCGGTGGAGACTATCCTCTCTTCAGTTCAGCAACTTATTTATACGCGCTGAGTCGGCCAGGGTGGCTGGGGTGTACCTCACTGCATGGTGGGGGCTAACACGACAGGCTAAGCTAGAGAAGGAGCAACGAAGAGTTGCTGACTTACAGGACGTAGCCGAGGATTAGGGAAGTAGGCGTCGACTGTGGGCATGCCATTTAGACTATGAAGGATACCGAGACACGCCGACGAGCGGCTCTCACCACTTGGGGACTTAACTTTATTCTACGCTCGAATGATGCCTTGCAACACGCCATGCTGGGGGATTCTTTCTACTCCTGGAAAAGCTACACTAGGACTATGACGGTCGAGAGGCTCAAAGTCAGTAGCGCTACTACTACTACTATTACTAATACTAGTATCACGGTTTCCCTCTCTGCCTGGTAGTTGGCAGTGGAAAGGGAACAGAATAACATAAGAGAGTGGGGCTGCAAGTACTTTACTGCGTTGAACAAAGGCGCCAATACTACTTTGAAAAAGGAAGTGAATGAAATGGTTTCGAGTCATCGCCGTGCTCGCGAGCTCCATGCAGGCTCTACTGAAAGTATCGTTCCGTGGCTGGCAGAGAGAAGTGGCCGCCGCACGACTTTTCAATAGAGTCACAACAGAGCATGCAGCTCGGTCTGAGCAGGCTGAGACTAGATTAGCGCAGCTCGTGGACACACTGGTGCTACTATGACTGCTAGCATCCTCTCTAGAGGTATTTGGCCCACTCAGAGTTCACGTCTTTTCCAAGTCACCACGTCGGTCTGGACCATCCACTTAGCGTTGGTCGCCTGGAGAGCCTTGACACGAGAAGGAGTAGCCCAGAGGCAACTGGACGTGAACCCGTCTCGCAGGATCATCACGGTTTCTATTGAGCTCCTCCTGCAGAGCCTCTACTATGCTGCAGTGGACTCCCGTATTACGATGGCGGAGAGCTTCTTCGACCGTGCCCATCTAGAGAGATCGGGGCATTTGAAAAGACGAGCTTTCGGTGGGTGGAAGGCCGAAGCACTTCTCCTGGGTGTGCAGCAGAGAGAGGTAGCTCTCTGACCCCCCACGGTCAACAGTTCTATCTCAGCTTGAGCTACGCCAACAATTGGCAGTCTCACAGAAATCAATAGCTAACCTCATGGTAGAGCAGTCGAGTATGCAGGCCGATGCTCACCTGCTCTCTATCGTCTTGAGAGAGTGGTCTCACGCTGCAGCGAAGGGAGTTATTATTAGGCAGCTGGAGTCCAACAAGGGTAGGAGGATAAGGCGACTGGTCTGGTCGAGGTGTGTTGGCCATCCGTAGTGACAGGGGAAGCCTCTGCGGAAGCCGAGAAAAATCTGGTGAGGATGGCTCGAGCCGCTGAGTCAATTACGGAGGAGTATATTAGAGTCTCCTTGTGTGCATATATCTTCAACATGTGGCAGCTGGATGTATGGAGGGCGCAGATTTGGGGACAACGGACTCCTCCTTCCTACAGACGCAGAGGGTGGCTCGAGAGAGAATGGCCACAGCGACTGAAGCGCTGAATGCCATGGTAGCGGAGAAAGAGGCTTTGGTGGAGGAGAATGAGAAGTTGCATGCCAGCAGTGATGTACTCCACAACGAAGTAGAGCGACTGAGAGGTCTTCTGGACGGGAAGTCCGAGGGGGATGCAGAGAGCGAAAGCTCGTCATCGTCTGGTAACGAAATACTTCTGATGTGATTACGCATGGCTTGTCGTGGTAGAGGAAGAAGATCTCGAGAGGTGTTCACCGGCGTGGCAGCCCAGGGGTACTCCCCCAGACGAGGCCATCATTGGCAGGCTGGATCTCTATGATGCCGAAGAGAATTTGAATAACGGTAAGACATCGTCTATGGCATTAGTGGTCGATGTAGTGCTGCTGTAGGGGAATACTTTATGGAGAAGCCTAGCCAGGTTAAATGCCTGCCTAGTCGAAGGCTCTTTTACTGTGTGAGGGATATTGATGATTATCAGAGCTACTTGGAGTAAGCCTTCTCATAGGAAATAGATGCACCCGGTGGTACATAGTGTGTTTATATTTGCCCTCTATCATCGTCTTAATGAGTTCTCACTGTGATTTTTACTCTGTGTAGCCACGGGAATAAAGGGGAAGATAGATATGCAGCCATGCGCAGTAGGAAGACAGCGTTTTCTTCATTCTGTGTGTGTATGAGGGGAAAAAACTGAATTTCACACATTTCTCGACTCCACTTAGTGTGACGAATCGAGTGGTCTATACGATCAATCACATGAAATTCGGACCGAGATGTTACCCGTCCATCTCGGTACAGTACATAAGCGGGTATAAAATACGCTCGTAGTATTGTGCGCATTTAACACACGAGAAGGTACAGTACGAGCATAAAATCTGCTGCTCGTTGTAAACAGTGCCACCCGTTATATCTCCTCAGAGTATTCGAGAATGCATCTCTGAGGAGGATGAGAAGTCGCTACTCCCTCAACGACGTATGCAATGCCATCTACGACTGGCCCAATAGGGAAATATCAATAGACTCGGAAGCTTACTCTGCGGGAGTGTGAGTCGTCGAACACGCTCCCTATTGGCACTGTACCATCAGGATGAGGTCGTTGAAGAGGAAAACGCTGATGCAAATGACTGACGACTTCTTCATTTCCCTTATCAAAATAGCACGCGAGAGTGTATCCCGTCGCAAACGGTTCAAACAACAAAAAATGGAGTCGAAGATTCTGTCCCTTGACAGCGCAGAGCAATCGGTCGCACCGCGAAGAAGTACGCTCTTCCTGGCTCCCCCGCGAGTTGGGAGCACGATACTAGCTGAGCCCAACACGGAGTTGCTCGTGCCACAAGCGAGGGAGATTGAGATCGCCCCGTCGCCACCACCACCACCCGAAGCAGCTGTGGACCCTCTCGCGGTTGACACTACTGTGGAAGATATCCAGCAACGTGCTGGCAAGACTGTATCACTAGAGGTCGAAGAACCAATAGGCGACTCTTCATCAAAATGATGTTGCGAAGACTAAACCACTCCCGCTCATGTGGTCATGTTCATGTTTTCTCTAGTACTTTCCTCTTTGCTGTTGTTGGGTTCGAGAGACGGGCTAATAGTTGGATAGCTTTACCCAGCCTAGGGAAGACTATGAGTTCATCATTCTTCCATTGCCTCTTCCTTCCTCTACTCGCATACGTGGCTGCTACGGAGGCTGTCCAGCAGCTCTTCCCTGACGTTCCTCTTCCAGAAACCACATCCCACCAGTGTGTAGCCTATGCGCCAATACAGGATATATCAGTCTCTGAGGCCTCTGCTATCTTCTACTCCGCCGCACTGTGGAAGAAGTCACTGAGTTTCCCCGCCTCGGTCCCCAGTGGCCTCATCCTTTACTCAACGACGAATCCTTTTTCATGTGAGTCCATCTCGTTGTGGTGTTCCCTCCAACGTTTGTCTCAGACTCACCTGCAGTAGTCGAGTTCGAACAGCTGGTAGCGGGCAGTTTCCCCGACATCCGCTTCTATCGCGTGAATCTCGTAGAAGCAACTCAAGCTGAGCTACTGCAATTGTAAGTGTATGTGATCATCTGCCGAAACTGCAAGTGTGTTCCGAATCGTCAGGCAGTGGATAACCATTCCCCGAGTAATTATTCTGAGTGCTTATCGAGACTCTGGTAACAAAACTTTCGCCACCAGCATCGATCCACCTTTCGACGCTGAGAAAACGGTATCGTATATAGCCAACGTTACAGGTTTGGAGATCGCCACTGAATCCCATTTCTACCGGTGAGACTTCTAGAACCACAGCAATGTGGACTGCCTTTCTCTCCTTCCAGATCCGCGCCCTTGTACTCGGACGAGTTCAACGTCCGGCTGCGCTTCGATCCGAGTGTTTTCTCCTTCCGTGACTGGACGGGACTCACAGTGCTGGCGTACATTTGCGTTAAGTCTCTGTTGCTCCCAGTGCTGAAGAAGATGCATAAGTTCGTGCTCAGTTGCGTTGTCAAGCTCTGTTGATGTACTCTTGTCTCTGCAACATTTATCTCGTAGTGTTAGTATCGGCAACCTGGGCGCCCCGGTGCTTGTGTGGGTCTGTCCCAATCAACTGGGCTCACTTTCTCCTTTCCATCATGGCATTCAGTATCAGACGTTGTCGGAGGTTTCTAATACCCATCGTCGAAGCTTCGCCCATTTGCTCTCTGGGAATATGATTATATTTTCAACTGCTCTCTGATCCCGTCGTTCAAGTGGTATTTACTATCTCGTCCATTCCGCACAACACTGTATAACACAACAAGGTTAGCAAGTCAGGAGACGCCAAGGCTCCCACGTCTATCAGTAGAATGCAACAGTACCCGAGATCCACCTAGAGATGCAATGAGATCGGTTTTACAATAGATATTAATGTGTAAAGTGGGATAACATGATAACTAAAACCTGTACAAATATCTGAACGGCTTTGATAATAGATAATGTATGATTGAGTTGGAATACAGTAGTAACACAGGAACTATCGATGTAGCGACGTAGCTTTGAGGACGACTCAGAAACGGCGTAGTGTTATCGCTTCATATGGCGCATCTAAAACGATGAAGCGACCAACACGACGCCAGACAGATGTCAGATAACAACACTCGAAGCGTCCGACTCGTCGATTATGCGAGGATATGCCGCCGCAGTCGGACCTGGCCAGCACAACCGTTTTCCCACGGCAAGGGTCACTTTCATCAAAGCTGACAGAGAATCTTCCTCGAGTGAACACTTTCGATCGTTGGTCCTCCGAAGAGGCCATCCAGGAGGTGGAAAGAGCGAGTGGAACAATAAGGAACTGCAGAGATGAGACTGCACGGCCTCATGTGACATTTTGAGAGTGGGTGCACAAAAGAACACCAGGAGGTTCAGAAACTAATCGCGTTTCGTACTCTTCTTCTCGACCTTGTAAGCCACACCAACAATCATCCTTGTCCCGGCAGAGGACGCAGGAGCCCCTTCTAAACAGTCGTGCGATTAGGCGGTACACTGGAACTCAACATGAGGGTGAACTCACATAAAATTCATCGTTACTTGTGACATTAACAACATACTCGTTTCAGGGATAACAGAAGTGGTTATACCAGGATGAACATTTCCCTGTAGAGAAGGAGATAATTACGTGATAGATTAGCGTATTGGTACCAAACATGCATTTTCAACGACATCATCATTACATTGAATAAGAGGATTCACACAACTCCCAGCTACACTCAGAAGAGCACTCCTCCGCCTTTACGGAAGGTGTACGGTCATCATCTTGAATCGGTGGCGCATCCTCGTGCAGGAATTCTTCACAAGAATCGATATCCCACTCATCGATTTGACATTCAGCGTCGTCCCTGCCGATGTTGAATGCAGGGACATCATCTGTCGCCTCCGAACGACTCTCTTGTTCTCGAGGGCTTTTACATTTCGGATAAGCTCTACAGTATCTTCCACAAGGAGTTCCTTCTAGCCAGCCAACTGTGAGCATGTGGTCCAGAGCTTTGCGGCCCATTGAGTCTAGGCGACCTCTAATCCAGCGAACCGACACCCAAGCTCCTCGAGGTTCCATATACTCGCATATCTCATCAAAGCGGCAGTTTATGCAGCTTCGACGACAGCGGCGACAAGTCCTTTTCTTACGTGGCATACAACGAATTGGTTTTCTGATCACCACAGACTACGAAGAATAACCCATAGTGGTTCGAGTACCCACCTTTCGAGAGGATCCACCTCTTTCCTTGTACGGTTAAGGGCCAGCGGATGCCTACCACGCTTTGCCCTATTCATAGTGCCCACGTGCCTACCATCAGCCTTACTAGTAGTCCTAGCACGCGAACGGGTAATCATTCCGCCCATTGATACGATGAAGCCAATGTCAAGAACAACGAATATGGTGTCGACGCAGATGAGCCAATACGCGGCGTTCAAGCACTTTGACATGAGGTGGAGGCCCATCTCGGGGGTCGATGGCTGCTTGAAGAGGAGCTCATGAATGGTATAGGAGATATCGGTGGCGACAAGGCAGAATATGAAGGCTAGCAATCCTAGTTCCACACGACCTAAAATGCTAGTTGCCTGTGAAGAACACCAATGTAGGTAAGAACTGCACGGATGGGAATGCGGCATAGCCATACTGGGAACAACAGACGCTCACTAAACGGTAGATCTTGAGGAGGATAACTCTGGGCTGATTTGGATATTGAAACTAATTCTCATTCATGATGAAGTCAATGAACCTCATCTCTGAGTTGTCGTCGACCACTACGATCCATGTCCGGAAGTCATATCAGAAAAGAAAGAAAAGCAAAGACAAAAAAGCCACGTAGCAGCGCCAGTCTAAGAACCGACTGGATGCTCTAGTAGTAACTCCACGATGGACTTCCAGTATCCCGAGCCCCGCGAATATGATCATGACCATCATAATGCTCGAAATCCGAGATCCTCACTGAGGTAGTCCGATCAGCACCGTCGGCGAGTCGCCAAAGTCCCTCGGTACTGTGGCTGAGTTCCACTGCTTCCACGATTGGACTTTCGAGTCCTCCTCCTCCTCCACCACCAAACTCCTTGTCGAACTCGAGGGCGCCCCTGTAAACACCGTAGGGCGGCATATCTTCGCATTCATGGGATACAACAGTTTGCTCATCACATGATGCGCCGCCCCAGGAGTCCGCTAAACGGCAGTATAGGCCGCAGTCACTGAGTTCGATCCAGCCTATGTCTGCGAGTGTCCAAATGATTTCCCAGCCACCAGAGGTATCCCCAATCTTGGAAGCGAGGTAGTTGAGGCCCACCCAAATGCCAACAGGTTGGAGTGTCGCATACACGGTCGAAAGCGCGGGAAAGAACTCAGAAGCGGCTCCAGAATGCTCTACCGTTTGATCTGGTTCGACGGCCATGCTAATGTCGTTGACATTCATATGATCATCGTCGCTTTCCTCCTCTATCAACTTCTGCACCCACTCAGTGTAGAACACGTCAAAGCTCGGATAGGAGTCCAATGGGCTCATAGGGCACTCGCTAACAGTAGTGGAAGAGGACTTACCAATATCGTCAGGAGAATGACACGTGAACGCATCACCCTGATACTAACGAGATGCCTGCAAGCACACAAGTATTCATACTACTACTACTGATGATGATGTCGTTGACGATAGGAGCTCCTCAAGAGGATATCTCGGGGTGGCTGCCAGGCAAGGCGCCAGAGACTTCGACGGATAGTCCACAAACGGTCCGTTCATTGTCTCGTCACCAGCCACTCTGAACATACCCCAGTGTTATTGACTCTCTTATCGACCACTACTACTACCTATATACAGACGGTCTGCCTATACTTACCCTACTAGGCCTTCGCCCATGCCGACCACTGGGCTTACCTGATTCACCCACAACGTGATGAAACTCCACCTCACCGACAACAACGTACTTGAGGCCGTTTGGAAATACCCCGACTTGCGATTGCCACGTGATCGACCTGGCACTCCCCGAGTGTCGTGGCCCAGTGAGAGCGCTGCATTTCTCATATTACCATTACTACTACACGATGTACTATCAGAAACACTAGACTGTTGTCGTCTATAGGGCCTCTCTTCCACAGTAACCCAGCCTTGTACCACTTCACCGTTATCATCACTTGCCTGTACGCCCACATCGGTGCTCACAGATGGAGTCCCTCTACTATCAGGACTTGCAATGGGTACATGTTCATCAACGCCATCACTCGCCTCGCTGGTGCTGCCTGGATCAACCTCGTATGCTTCCCTCAGCGTCAAGTTCCGTTCACCAGTAGGCTTGCCTCTATCCCTTGGTTCTCCTCGACGAACGTAACGAGATATAGTAATACTCATCCAAGCATACAGGGATCGCAATAGGTCAAATAGGGGTGCCAGAGCGCTCTTGCCGTGCGGGGACCGATTGCCCGCAGATTTTTTTCTCCCCCTTTTCTTGGTTTTCTTCTTCCTTCGCTGACCACCGCGCTGGCGTCTTTGTAGACCACCGACTGTTGAAGAGCTATTTTATCGCTATGGACGCTATGAGACTCACCTGGCTTGAGATCACTGCCCAGACGGACAGCCAGAAGTAGAAATACGATGCACAAGGTGCACCACAGGAGAATTCCCTAACATGGACAGGCATTCTGCGACATACCACTCCAATCTCAAGTGTTGCTGAATTCGAGGAGCGCACACTATTGGCAAAAAGCGAGCAGGTCCATTGAGCAGGCGCATCAGGTAGCTCTCAGGTTCATTACCAGATTTCCCACGACGCCTGGCTTCACCAACACTCCGAAGATCTCAGTTAACGAGATTCTATCCATACCTTCCTGAGAAAGTATCCAAAAGCTATAACCCCTATCCCTACTCCAGTGACATAAGAACAACACAAGCCGATTCACACACTGGTAAAGAGCTGCAATTTTCGTTGTCTCGGCCAAGCCGATCGATAGTAAAAGGAGTAAGCAGCTGGACTGTAGGATACAAACCACTGTGAGCAGAAACAAGTTGTGGTAGTAGTCGACAATGGTGTAGCAATTTCAGTTCTTATGGAGAATGAGAAACCTGGCCATGGCAGATTCTAAGTTACAGAGGAAAATTTTTTGCTCTCATTGTGAAAAATTGGTACCGGATGACGCGCGTCTCACTAAAAAACCACGAACACGAACATTAGGTCGTTCAGTGTTCTGATGCCAACAAACTCTTCTGAGTATCGGCCATCACGGAGCGCCTAGTCGATACACGCCCAGCAAGGACGCCCACCAAGAGCGCTACGACCACCGCTACAGCGACTGACCAGAACGACATTCCAACTCGTTCGACCCTAGTATCAGCATGCACCGGTGTTCCAGCGGCTTGGACGTACTTTGGGTAAATATAGTCTTTATTAAAACCGATCTGAGCCAAGTAGTCAGCGGGATACCCCATGTAGAAAACTTTCTCGGGATCAGATTCTGGGAAACTGTAGTAACCGTCGTTGTAGCGAACAACGAGCTTGTCAGATAGGTCCCACCAGGCCTTCACAACTGAGGTCTGAGCATCGAGTGCTCCAG